TTTGATAAATAATTAGATTTACATTCATTTTAAATTCTTATATATTTATATATCTAAAATTTAAATAATTATTTTTTATATAATACTTTAATGTCTAAATCAAATAAAAATATTTTTTTATTTTTAATTCATATAAAAATACTACTACAATTAGTTTATTTAAAATGAAATATATCTCTTCATGTATATATTTGATGTGATTTAGATGATAAAATATTAAATAAATATTAAGAATTAAGTACTAGATATGTTAATAAATTTTTTTTTTATGTATCAAAATCCCTCACAATAATTATGTGAAAATACTCTCATTAAAATTTGATCAAATAGATTTATAAAGCAAATAAAATTATTTTAAAACGAATGGAATGTATATAATTAATCAAATTTTATATTAAACTTGTTGGGTCCTGGAATATTCATGGCGATAGAGAAATATATAATTTAACGTCTTAACGTTATATGAATATCCATCACACAAGCATATGAAAGAGATAGCGTGACGTTCATAAGAGACACTAGAGTTTTACGCGGAAACCCCTGAAAAGGGGGAAAACCATGGGGTTTGGCCTATTTTGAATGAATCCACTAGTATTTGAAGTCGATTACAAACGAGGCCATTCTTTGGGAGAAGGCCTTGGCTTTATGTCACAAATGTACGTCATATAGAGCACATTACATGGTGGGAGTTACAATAATCAACATAGACATATTTGTTTCGTCGGCATGACCAGAGTGGATAGGATAAAGGTCGGAAAGACTGTAGTAAGCGATGGAGGTCGGAATGATCGTAGTCGACATGAGCATGGAACCGTTGTCTTGCGATGGAGGTCAGAAGAATCATAATAGGCAACGAAAGTTGGAAGGACCATAGTCGGCAGGAGATTGGTCCGTAAGGCCGTAGTTGGCAGGAGTCCTGGGTAAGAAAGACCGTTGTTTAGTAATGGAGGTTGGAAGGACCGTATTAGGCGATGGAGGTCAGAAGGACCATAGTTGGTAGAAGACAGGAGTCCGAAAGACCATAGTTGGTAGGAGACCGGTGTCAGAAAAATTGTTGTCTCGTGATGGAGGTCGGAAGGACTGTAGTCGACAGGAGACAATTGTTCGAAAAATCGTAGTAGTAGGGCGATGCTCCAGTAGAACTCTGGGCGTCATGTGGTGGCCCAATAGAAGTCCGGGCCTCAGGTGATGGTTTGGCAGAAGTCTGAGCCTCAGGTGGTTGTCTAACATAAGCCCGAGACTCAGGAACTTTTATTTGGTCCGGTCACTTAACGTAGATCTACGTTCGGATGACAGTAAAATAGTGCCATGTGTTCTTACTCTTTACAGCGCGGCTAACAATCGACCCGGAACGGACCCGAGATTGCTATGTTTGCGTATTGCTCGGTATTGCTAGGTATTGGTCGATTTTGCTCGACAATAATGAGAAATACCATTCTATGAAGACCAATACCTAGCAATACCGAGTTTTTCTTGGTATTGCTCGGTATTGGTCTTCACATAGCGGTATTTCTCATTTTTGCCAAGCAATACCGAGCAATACCTAGCAATACTGAGCAATACCGAGCAATACACGAACATAGAAATTTGGGGTTCCGGTCCGGGTCGGGTCATCAGGCCACGCGGTAAAAAGTAAGAAAATGTGACGAAATATTATTGGCGTGTGAACGTAGAGCTACGCCAGGTCACCTAACTTAATAATTGTTCGGGACTCAGGTGGTGGTATGGCAGATGTCCGGGCCTTAAGTAGTGTTCTGACATAAGTCCGAGCCTCAGGTGGTGGTCCGATAAAACTACGGGCTTCATGTAATGCTCCGACAGAAGCCGGGCCTAAGGTGGTGGTCCACCATAAGTTTGGGCCTCAGGTGGTGGTCCGACAGAAGTCTGGGACTCAGGTGGTGGGCTCGTTGGATTCGTCTCATCAAGCCGCTCGATTCGACTATAAGCATGATAGGTTTGGAAACTGTTTGGTAATCCAAATTGTGGTTTGAACCTCCAACAGTGCTTTGAGTCCTCGATTCAGACCCATTTGGGCTCGGATTGAGTCAAATTTGGCGTCGTTGGGTTCGTATTTCTGAGACGTTCAGTTCAACTATAAGTTTGGTGAAATTGGAGTTCGGATGGTCCCAATTTAAATTTCGGAAGTTTCCAACTTGATTTTGCATCGAGATTCGTGCCCGATCAAGATATTTTTTTCGAGGATGTATCAAAACTTAAACATGCCTTGATTAAATTTTGATAAGGATTTTCTCATTAATTCTAAAATGAGTATATACAGATAAAATTAATCAAAATATATTTATATTTGATGTATCATCAAAAAATTATCTTGATTGGGCATGAATCTCGAGGCAAAATCGAGTCAGAAACTTCAAAAATTAAATCCGGGATCCCCTGAACTCTGATTTCATGGAACTTACAGTTAAACTGAGCGTCTCAGAAATGCGAAATCAACGACACCAAATTCGACTTAATCCGAGCTCAAATGAGTCCAAATCAAGCGCTCGAAGCGCTGTTGGAAAGTTCAAACCATAGTTTGAGTTATCAAATGGTTTTCAAATATGATGTTCTTATAGTCGAATCAAGAAGCTCGACAAGAAAATCTAACGAGCCCAAGATCGCCGAATTCTGACGTCATTAAGACCTTCAAAAGTTTGACGAACGGTGCACGATTAAGGGATTCAATATCGGCCGTACATCCGACCACTCCATATTTACCCCTGATCTCTCACATATTTGCCATGCCACTTCATAATATCTGTAAATAGACCCCTCATTTCTCATGAGGGGGGACCCAAGCAAGAAGAAGCAAGAAAAAGAAGAGAAGAATAAGATAAGGATTGGAGGGAAGAAACTCCTCCACGACCACTGTCGGAATTCTGTTCGATGCCCGAGTGGTGCCAGAATTCCTCCTGATGCCCGAGTGATGTCAAAATTCTGTCCGACAACCGAGTGACACCAGAATTCTTCTCGACATTCAAGTAACACCAAAAGTCTGCCCGATCTCCAAGTGACGCCGGAACTCTGCCCGACATTGTAACTGGATTTCAATTTAGAAGTGATTCATTGTAATCTGATCGTCCTAAATTTCGAGGACGAGTCAGCCTCTTGTATCTCAAACAAACACTAGTGAAAATTTTTCAACTGGGCGTGACACCATGATTTTTTCCCTTTCCATGATTTCTACGTAAAAATCCTGATGTTATTTCATTTCTTGTTTGTGTGTTGGATATCTGTAAAACGCTGAGACGTAAATTTTCTAACTCTATCGGCACGTATATTCTAGCCCGCAACAATATTATACTCAGCTTAAGATAAATTCAATAATTTGCAACTCTTCGTAATTAAATTTTGATTAGAATATCTTCAACTAATTTTATTTTCTTTAAAAATATGACTTATCAATTGCCTTTAGAAAAAAAATTAGTTTGATTTTTTTGGTTGAAATATATATATATATATCTACAAAATAGTTAGATTTCCTAACTAAAATCTGATCAACATTATTAAAATTCTTTAAATTTAATTTAAAATAAATATAATAGTTGATAATCTCAAATAAAATTATTTAATTAAGCACCAATTGCAATGCAATATTTTAAAATTGGAATTTTTACAATAAATTTATGATCATATTAATTCAAATTTAATAAACTTATAGTTCAAACTGAACAACTCCAATATTAACTCAATCACAAAAAGACCGACTCGAATCCAAATGAGCTCAAGTCAAATATTGAAGATATATTTTGAGATTTTGGTTATTAATGAATAACAAAAATGACTCTTGATCTAAATGTCTTAGTCAAATCAAATATCTCAACAAGTTGAATCTAACAAGCCTAACATTATTAAAATCTTAGATCATTAAAGTATTAAAATGAAATAAATCAATCTAATACTCAAAGATATCATTATTAGTTGTTTGATATAATGTTTCTTAATTTTGGAAAATTTTAAAATATATTTTTTTAAGAAAAATTATAAATAGCTTCATTGTTTTCATGTGAGCTAAAAGATATGAAAAAATCTATTATCTTACCAAACAATTAGGGACGTAACAACCATTAATTTGGGGGGGGGGGGTGAGAAGCTTGATATTAGCTACAAAAAAGAAAAATTATGGATGATTTGTTTATTTTTAAACAAAATTTAGGTTAAAGTATGAATGATTTATTTGTCAAAAAAATATAATGATGTAATTTATTAATCATTCAATTTCTACGAAATATATGTTAGAGTTTCATTGAATTTTGCTTGAGTCCTATTTGTTCATATCCTTGATCGTTATACACTTCACATATATACGGTGGTCCAAGGAGGCAGCGCCCCCGAAACAAATTTTAGTTGTAAGGATGTTTTTGAAATTTTTGTGGCTCTATGATGGTGATTATGGTCGGTTAGGGCAAAAGGCGGGCAAAGTAAGAGGCCTAGGAGGGCAAATTATTTAAATGCATCTCTCTTATAATTTTTTAGGGGGAGGGGGGGTCGGCAATTGGCACCTGACATCTACATGATTCCGCCCTGCTATCAACTACTATCAACAACAACCATCACACGACTTTTATCATCCGACTACCATCGTCCTATTTCTAAGTTCTAACATTCAACCCAGTCATTTGATTTTTGTTGTTGAACAGTCTGGCCTTTATTCTATTGCTATCACTTGATTGAAATTATGTGATGGTCTCCACCTTTTATCATAATTTATATAATCTCTACACACTAATATAACTTTAAATACAAAGCAGGGTTATTGTCTATTGCAATTTCTATATGTGCGCATACTAGATTTTGATGTAAAACTAAAATATTAAATACTCTCTCCATCATCATAAATTTTTTTAGAGATAATGTGATTATTATGATCATAGATATTGTGTACAATTTTTTTTTTCGAATTTGTTTTCGTTACCTACTAGCGGTAGCCAATCCTCCACGGGCCTCCCCAATGATCGCATTTACTTCGCCCGCCAGCTCCAACCACCACCTGTCTTTCATGCCCCCCATCTCATTCAATGTTAAATATCTACAATTTTCCTTCAGCTCGATCGGCAGACCAAGAGCGAGCGCCTCAGCTATCAATTGATCGGCCACGATGATGAAGACGGCGGCGGCGCTTCCGGTATCGAAGCAAGAAAAAGAGGTGGCGGACGCGATCGAAAGTGGCCTGAGCGGTGTACGGACCGCGGAAACGCTGCTGCGCGTTGTGCCGATGGGGTTCTGCCTCGCCGCACTAATCCTCACCATCAAGAACTCCGTAGACAACGATTTTGGCTCCGTCTCCTATTCTGATCTCGGATCCTTCAAGTTAGGGTTTTCGCTCGGTCTCTGAATAAGGTAAAGCAAGCTTGCCTCTCTTCTTTAAGAAATTAATGATTAATTTTGCAGGTATTTGGTGTACATGAACGGGCTGTGCGCTGGCTACTCCATCTTCTCAGCTTTCTACACCGCTATCCCCCGCCCCCTTTCCATGTCTCGCGCTTGGACTATCTTCTTCCTCGATCAGGCAAGGTTTCTTTCTTTGTGAGATTTTCTTGGAAAAGTTATTGCTCAAAATATAGAAGAAATTTTGCGCCAGAAAATGGAGATGGTTTAAGAAAAATTATTCTGTGCGGTTTATGGGAAATTTACATACATACCATTTTATAAAATTATATTTACATATCTAACACCTAAAATTTTAATATTAGCATACCACCATATATTATTTTATTATCAAATTAACCACTTATATTTCTTTCCTACCACTCATATATTTCATTTCTACCACTCATATTTGATATAAACATGAACTATGCGTGGTATATATGTAATATTATATCAAATCAAATTTTATTTTCTAACACCAAAAAAAATATTCTTAGTATAATCTTTCTCATACTTAAAATTTTAAAATTAATATCCAATTTTTTTAATTAAAAAAAAAAACATAGAGCTGGTGAACAGTAGCACAGGTCACCCGCAAGCAATTAGCATAAGATTTGGCATTCGGCTGGAGCAATCAAACGACGTCATACACATGTTTAATGTTCGGTTGGAGATGCCCTAACGGTTCTAGAAACTAACGATAATGCATCACGTCATTTTTAATTGTGTACCGCTCGGTACTGAGTGGTGTGGCATGTTCTAATTCACTTCTGAACCATTCGATGAGCGCACTGAACAATTTATCCATGTTTAATAGCAATTAGATGTGCATTGAAATTAATTTTTGCATATGATATTATAATTAAAAAAAGTTATTAAATTTATATTAAAATTAGTGCTTAAATATGATTTATAAATTTCATTTATTTTAAGTTAAATCTAATAACTCTTAAGACTTGTTTGAGAGAGTTTTTCTTACTTTATTTTTTCAGTTCGTTAATATAATTTTATTTGGTAATTATTTTCTTTTTTTAGAAAGAAAATTATTTTTATAATAACTTTCCAAAAATTTATTTTTCTCGTATTAACTCTACAAAACCTTAGAAAAAAGCTGTCGTTATGCAAATTAGGTCATGATTTTCCTTAATAAAATTTTTCAAAAATATATAGAAGTACAGAATCATGCATGCACTTCGACCAGCTTTACTTTTGTCTTATGCGCAAGCAGTACATGAAAAGGTCGGTTTGGTTACAGTTTTAAGTAGGATTCAAGTTTACTTCAGTCTAATATTTCTTTCCAAATTTTTTGTGGAGTATATATCAATGAAAATCGGACCAGATAAAATATTGGAAGAATGAGAGTTTTATGGTTAAATGGTTCAATCGGAATAGAATTGTGGTCGAGTCGAATGATGTAATAAATAGGTCAAATTATAAAAAATAGCATCTTTTATATGAATATAAGTTTATATGAATATAAGTTTTAGATGCTCAAATTAATTGAGGAAGGAGCCTATGCGGAGTATAGAGGCACGTATACAAAAACTAGAATATAAACATCAGGTATCATTGAACCGGAACATTCTATCGAGTCCGAAACTTAATTATCCGGTTTTGATAGAAGCCAGAACTCTAATATCTGGTTACTATAGAAACCACAACTCCATTGTTCGGTTTCAGTAGAAACTGGTATTTATTTATGCAATTTCATTCCAAACCCAATTTTACTTCCCAGATGAAATTTTTATAAAATTTAAACTGTTATGTAACGAGTCGGGTTCAGGTTTTGGGATTCGTCTCATTTGAAAAAATGGATCTGTCTGGGTCAACCCTCTAACCTGAAATTGACCCGGATTAACCCGGAAAACGCGTCGCGTCAACTTAGCCCATCAGTCGTCCTCGTCAAGTCTCGTGCTGCGACAGCATGTCTGTCGTCCACATGCCGCCCTCAGCCCGAGGTTGCCAAAACTTGCCGGTAGCCAAAGGATGAATACTTGACAGCACCGTGCCTCCGCAGCCTCTACCGGACTAACGCCGCAGCCTCTGCCGCCTCCGCCGTCGCTACCATTCACCATAGCCAGAACCTACGAAGGCCAAACACAATTGTTTCCTCCATCCAATGTTGGCTAGACTCCGAGTCGTGTCGGGTTTATATGGACCCGAAGTGGGTCGGGTTTGAGTCTGAGAAATTTACCCTTTTTATAAAAATTGCTCGGGTTCGAGTCAGGTCAAATATTGTTGGGTCAATTTCGGGTTGGACCTGAGCCCGACCTGATACCCGAATTTGATAGCCGTAGTTTAACGCAGAGGAACAATTTTGAGTTTATATAGAAACCGGAACTTAGTCATCTGGTTTCTATAGAAAACGGAACTCACTTCCCCAATTTCTGGGGTTTCTTAAGAAACGGAAATTATTTCTCTGCATTCAATTCAAACCAGTTTTCACAATTGTGTTAGCTCCTATTTAAAATTTTCTTATTAATTACATGAAATATGCTCATTTTTTATAAATTAGCCTAATAAATACTAATTCTATTTAAATATAGTATAATCTATCTAAATTAGTGCAATCATATATAAAAATGTGAATAAAATTAAATAAAATAAATACATAAAACATGAATGATTATCTTATTTTTGGTTGAAGACATGAAATATTGAGTAACTAAACTATTCTTTACATGTTAACATATAATTTTTTCAATATTAGAAAGATAACAAAAGGGTTTGGACCTCTCCATTGAAATAAAGTTGCACAAAATATGATTCTAAAAAGAGAAAACCTTTGGCAATTAAAGTTTTCTGGATAGCTAGTCATAAATTAAATGCCAAATAACAATCTAGTGGCTGCCATATGTTAACAGAAGATAACATTATTTGTAAATGATAAGATAAACATAAATGAAATGCAATTTCTTCATTACTTCATTAATGTTTAAGGCCTAAATTTTTATTTCTGGCATTAAATTAGTCTCTTCCATTGATTACTCAACAAAACTGAACCCATATGAGAGAGATCCAGATTTAGGATAAAAATCTAGACATCTATCACATGGATAAAGTCTTAGCAAATATGTAGAGCTGAATTCAATAGTCTCAGCAAATAGGTGAAAAAATCAATTCTAGATGAGGGACATAAGCTGGAGTTGGTTGCTGAGTTCCTCAGATGATTATAGAATTGGTAATGCCTTAAGGGTTAGTCCTGAAAAAACTAAAATGTGTGGTATATCTAGCTTGTATAATCATTCAGATTAAGAGGAGGTGAGCAAACCGACGAACCTACGAGGATGAGCGGTTGAACTAGAAGTTCTATGGTGTCATAGTCGACGGGAGGTCAAAACTGACAAACTTGGATGAAATATGGAACTTGAGTGATCAGCTACTGAAGGAGAAATGCATAATTGAGCATACATATATTCCGTCATACGAGAACAAGAGAGCAAACGAGAGGTCTGTCTTGAGTCTTGCAACCTAAGTAGGAATAAAGGTAGGAAATACGAAGCAGCCTTAGGGTTATGTGACTCGAGAAGTAATATTTCGACCGTTCGATTTGCAATCAACGGAGATCATTCATCAAATTTAGAACAGAGTGGTTTTTTTTTTCAAATTCAGCTGGGTTGCTGGCTATACTGTCAAACTGGCGGTTCATTAGATTCTTCTGCGGTTTAGCGATGGAGTGGTTTTGAGGTATAATCAGATCGGTTGGTTGGCCGATTTGTAGTTCAACCGATTAAACCGATCGGTCTAGTCTAGTAACCGATATGAAACTCCCAAATTTGTTCACTCACTATTTCTTAACTCCATAATTAAACTAAAATCGATATAGAAAAGCGTCAATAAAAAATCCAAGCTTAAAACTTTTTTATCGATTAATATTTCTTTGAGACTCAGCAATACATATATTCCTTTTGGCGCAGTTGCAGCAAACCGGGGCCTAAACAGCATTCTGCTTTTTTGTTTGGAGAACCTATCCATTGGTCTCTCTTCTCTATCAAAATAAAAATAGAATGCACACCATAATTTTCTTTAACATTAAAAATAGGATTGTTATAATACATTAAAAATAATTATTTTAAAATTGAAATATTCAATCTTCTTGATAATGTTTTTTTTTTTTTTTTTTTTTTT